GCCATAACAGTTTAATAACAGTACCTTCATTTGTGTACTTTACATACTTTTTCAAAAGCACTTCTCATCCTGGGAGAAGTTGTCATTACTCCTATTTTGTAGTGAAGTAGTTGAGACCTGACATATTCAGTTATGTAAACAGGATTGAATTCATATTTCCTTCCTTCTGGTCCAAGATTTTTTCTGGTTTATCAAGGTGACAAAGGACACACCAAGGGCAAAGAAGCAACAGTGTGATCAGGGCCAGGTGAGAAGGGGCACTGTTATGAGACCTATGACCTTCTCAATCCAGGGTATCAAAAAAGCTCTTTAGTGTCTCCAGTAGCTTGTTCCTCCCCAGAACAATGCAAAAAGACAGGGGAAAGAGTTTGTTCACCTTGAAGTTTAAACAGACTCACTCCCTCAATGATGTTATCTTTTCAAAATTGAACAAAGGTGGTTATTTCATTTTGTTCTGATCCTGGCTTCTCTCTGAAATTTGGATGCATTCCAGGTACTTTTTGTATTTTCTCCAGGTATGTATAGAAAATCCTGGGATAGTTGTTTTTGTTAAGTACCATCGAGTCAGTTCCGACCAATGGTGACCCTATATAGGGTTGCCAAGAAGCAGCTGGTGAGCTTAAACCACCAACCTTGCTGTTCAAACAAACTTTGCAGTCCAGCGCATTAACCCACAGCCATGCCTGCACACAGTAGTGAACAATTCAAAGGTTCTATTGTTGTTGTTGTTGTCAAGTGCCATTGAGTGAGTTCTGACCCATAATGACCTTGTATAGGATTTCCAAGGAGTGACTAGTGAGTTTGAACTGCCAACCTTGTGGTTCAAGCTGACTTTGCAGTCCAGCACATTAGCCCACAGCACCATACCAGGACTCCAAATTAGTCTGACCCTTTTTGTCATCATCTAGGCTAGTGGCCTCACTTAAAGCCAAAACAGAACCAATCAACAACAAAATCAAAACGCTTCTAGAGCCAACATAAGGTTGCCTTTGTTTGTTTGTTTTGTTGCTAAGTAAGGATAGAAAACACACTATAATTTTAGAAGTCTGTAATTTATAATTCCATAAAGTAAAACTCATTTAACAGAAAAAAAGGTAAGAAAAATTGCTTTAGAAAGAAAGAGTTCCTTAAAATGAATTAATTTAGCCTAATGAAAAACATATTGTCGTAGTTCCTATGGTTGTTTGTTTCCATTTTTTGTTTTTAATTATTTTCCTTTACTGCTGACCAGCATTTGGGAAGCATTGATCATGATTTCTCCTCTGCCTTTAACTAACAGTAGACTTACATGACACTAATGAGGAGAAGATCCATCTATCTTTAAATGATTCTGTCAAGCAAGACTGTGGTTTCTTTGCTCATTCAATTTCTATTAACTTTTGTATTGATTCCCATAATTTTTAAACCAAATTTCAAGTTCCAAATTGAAACCTAATATATTTCATTATGTCCTTAATGTAAGAAAAAGTTTAACTCTTCACCATGCTCCAAAAATAATACATTACACTTTTAAATACTGTTACACTCTTCTCAGACTTGGCTCCTACAATTGCATTTACTTGTTTCTCTAAGGTGTAATTGTCAATCCATTCACACTTCCTTTCAAGACTCAGGTACAGTTCTGGGTGATGGGCATGCAGAGAGAAAACCATCCAGTCCTTGGATTCAAGTATCTCATGTGATATAATAGCTATGGGATAGTGCTATGCCTATAACCCAGCATGCCATAGGCCAGGGGAGGCATTCCAGTTGGCAGGAAACATGAAAGACTTGTGAAAGCTGGCAAGAACAGAATGGTTGGCACTTCTCAGCCTGCACAGCACCCAGATAATAACAGTTGAGAATGCAGGGTCTGGATCTCTACTTCCCAGACTCCCTGCTCCTGACTTTACATGCTGAGTTCCCTTGGGAAATTTAATTCACCATGCTAAGGCTTCATTTCCTAAACATACTACTTCAGTTGAGTTGTTCTGAGAATTAACAATTAAATAGGTAAAGCTATAAGGACAAAACTTGGCATATAATATGGTTTCCAAGGCTGTCAATCTTTACAGAAGCAGACTGCCACATTTTTCTCCAATAGAGTGTCTGGTGGGTTCACACCACCAGCCTTTGGATTACAGCTGAGTGATTCACCACTGTGAATTGCATATTGAATTCTCAAAATATTACTCATATCAAAAAGTGGAAAATGTTACTAACATACTTGTTTTGTTCGAGGTCGTCTAGTTGGTCCCGACACATAGAAACCCTATGTACCACAGAATAAAACACTGTATCGTTCTACTCCATCTCATAATTAAATTTGAGCCCATTGTTTCAGTCACTGTGTCAACCCATCTCATTGAGGAGCTTTCTCTTTTTCATTCACCCTCTGCTTTACCAAGCCTGGTGTCCTTTTCCAGGAACTGATAGCATGTCCAAAGTATGTGAGACCAAGTATCTCCATCCTCCTTTCTAAGAAACATTCTAGCTGTAATTCCGCCAAGACAGATACATATGTTCTGGCAGTCCGTGATACTTAAAATACTCTTCACCAATATTGCAATTCAAATGCATCAATTCTTCTTCTGTCTTCCTTATTCATTGTCCAGCTTTCATATGCATATGAGAAGACTGAAAAATACCATGGCTTCCATCAGATCACTTTAATCCTCAAAGTAATATCTTTGCTATTTAACACTTTAAAGAAGTCCCTTGCAGCAGATTTGCCCAATGTAATATATCATTTGATTTCTTGACTGTTGTTTCCATGAGCATTGATTGTGGATCCAAGTAAAATGAAATTCTTGACAAGTTCAATTTTTTCCCTAAGTTGTCATGATGTTACCTATTGGACCAGTTGTGAGGATTTTTGTTTTCTTTATGTTGAGGTGTAATCCACATTGAAGTCTGTAGTCTTCGATCTTCATCAGTGTTTCAAGCCCTATTAACTTTCAACAAGCAATGTTGTATCATCTGCATATGGCAGGTTGTTAAGGAGTCTTCCTCTAATACTGATACCACATTCTTCTTATAGTTCAGCCGCTCAGATTATTTGCTCAGCATACAGATTGAATAAGTGTGGTGAAAAGACACAACAGTGATACACAACTTTCCTGATATACCTCTTGGTGTATATATAGATTCTGCATGTGTGCAATTAAGTATTCTGGAATTCTCATTCTTTGCAATGTTATCCATAGTTTGTGATTATCCACATAATCGAATGCCTTTGCATAGTAAAAATAATGATGTAAACACTATTAAACTATCTTGAGCAAAATTTTAAGTGCCTATGATGTTAAAGGAGCTCTGGTAGCGTAGTGGTTACGAATTGGGCTGCGAACCATAAGGTCAGCGGTTTGAAACTACCAGCCGCTCCGTGGGAGAAAGATGAGGCTTTCTACTCCCGTAAAGATTTACACCCTTGGAAACCCTGTACAGGGTCGCTATGGGTCGGAACCGACTCGAAGGCACTTAACAACAACAACAACAACATGATGTTAATAATATTGTTCGATAATTTCTGCATTCTGTTGGCTCACCTTTCTTTAGAATGGACACAAAGATGGATCTCTTCCAGTTGCTAATCAGCCAATCAACCTCTTTCTGTGAAATAAATTAAAATAAGCATGAAAGACTGGATCATAACAGTAATGCAGTTTTTTATAGGAGAAATTGCTGAGAGGTGTTTTGGGTCCCATGAGACTTGGGGAACTTCTGAGAGTACATCCTTTAGACTCTGGAGTAGAGGCTCCTTGGAAGGACGTCCAGGAACAGACTAAGAACTCTTTAATAAGTATTCCTGGGCATTAGGCTTTCCTGGAAAAAACAAATTAGTGCATGGAGCCAGTACTGTGCAATTTCAGTTTTAAAAATAGCCAAGTATTGTTAAGGCTGCTGTATGCATGAAGAGAAAAAGAAAGTCCTTGTTAATATGTGCCTCAGCTTCTGCATTAAAACAGAGAAGCTGTTTTGAAATTCTTGCCTGGTAAACACTGCAAAGGTCATAAGGTTTGTATCATTTGGGATTGTTTTTCTGTCCATCCCTAGATCTTCTGGTGGCAAACTTTGGAAGGGGGGTGGTGATCGCTTTTTTCAAGTTTGGTCTTGCAATAAACATCAGTCTGTAATAGCTCTGCCTCTCTCACTTAAGACCATGACTGCCTCCTTGTCTACTTCAGTTCTTCATTTTCCTAATTGACCTGCAAGGCTGCAGGGACGCTCCCTGCAGTTAAGCCTCTGCTGACTGCAGAGACCCTACCTGGCATTCCAAATTGGCAGAGTCAGCATTTTAGGGAAAGATGAATGAAAAATCAATCAGGCAACTGCAGTGGCAGCATGCATAACTCTAACCTAGTTTGTACATAATTTTCACCTATTCACCACAGCCCTAAGCAGTGTTGAAGATGGTAAGTGAATCTGTAACAAATGTGCTGCTTCTGATTAATCAGGCTTACTTTATTATTATTATTATTATTGTTTTTTGTTTTTCTATTTGGAGCAAGCAAATCTAACCTCCTTAGGAAGCCACTTGTAAAACAAATGATGATAATTAAGTTCCATGCAAATATTCTCTATTTGCTCTGGTTTGAAATGCAGCTCCTAATTAGACCGGGTGATAAATATTCATCTATTGACACAACAAAATGCTATTTTATTGACTTATATTTCCTAGTTAGAAGGTTTAACTTTTTAAAAAGTCTATTTCACTCCTTCCCACTTCTGTGTAATAGGCTCTCACTATCTTCAAACTACAGTGTTTTAAATGTCTATTTTTACCATTCTGCAAAGATAGAGTTAAACACTATTTGTCCTCTGGCTACTTCTACTACATAAGGGGAATTGAAATTATTCAAAGCTGCAGTCTTCAGCTCTCAAAGACAGCTACAGTAACTTTCTGAACAGATTGGGTTAAACATTTTTACAGACCCATTCTATGATGATACAATAAGTTGTGCAGTGCAACACACTAAAAGGTTCCAAATCTCACAAGCCTCTTTGTGATGCCTTTGCAGTGAAGAAGATTCTTTGGGTTTTATAAAGATGAAGAACCTACTTCTTCTGGTGCTGATCTCAATGTGCTGGGCTGATCATCACTCAGACAGCTACACTCAGAATTATGACAGAGTTATTCACATCCAAGGTAAGAAAACACAGACTGTCTTATGGAAGTCAAATTAATTTCTAGTTACTTCGAGTTGAGATGCTCAGGTTAGTGTTTCTTAATTTTAGTTCTGCTGCATTGACTTTCTTTTCCTCTCTGCTAATTCGTGAACATGCTCTGCCCCCTGGGTTTTGAAAGCTATTGCATTGCAGTAGAGTTAAGAATTGGTGACAATTAAAGTTGAATGGCTTAAGAATGTCCAACTGCAGTGAGTTGATGTGATTGTTCAAGGCACTTTATTAGAACAGTTGCTACCTTCCAAGTAGAATGGAGAGCATGAAGTTTACTTAAATGCATTTGGGGAGAAGAGAGAGATTGGAAGTAAAACTTAAGATGTAAGGTCATTCTACCAGAGTGACTGTTTAATTATTTAAGAGGAACTATGTAACTAAAAATGAAAGTCAGACAAGCTATGGTTCAGGAAGAAGTAGCTTACCCCATTACAATCTCCTTTAGTAAAGCTGTAGTTTCTATGGACCAGTATATTGCCCCCTGCATATTTCTGTTAAGTTCAGCTGAATCTAAAGCCTGAAAGCTCTATCAGGATTTAAGGCTGCAGTACAATGCAGCTATTTCTTCAGTCAGAGCTTCAGATAGGGGACATTTTGCATTAAGAAAGCTAAGAGACTTATGCAATGAGAAAGGAGAATTCGAAAAGAGCTGGACCTTCCCTCCTTTCTTGCCCGTGTATGCTGAATAATTGAAACAGGAATTACATAATTTAACCATTTAAACATGTGATGATTTTCATTTTAGATGAACTCCGTTTAAGGCCAAAGATATTATAAGTTTTCCAAGAGACCAAGAACACCAACTTATGTCCCCAAGGTCAAAAGTGTAGTAGTCTCAGACAACTGACTGCATTCACTGTTGGAAAGTCTGACATGCGAAGGTCAAATGTTTGTGTTTATTTGGCCAAAAGTATTTTGCTATACATATTCTGACTATAAAAATAGAATTCTGGATTTGAGTATGTCCTAGCTATTTCCGAAACATTTCTTTCAGTTCCGATTGTTTCCAAAGCTTTATTTTTTCACTGCTAAACAGTTTTAAAGGAATTATGTAATCATAAATTTTACTCTGCAAGCTGCTGAGTCAGCTGTTTCTTCTAATGACTATAATGGACTCAAAGCTATTGTCAAACAAAGACCGTACGATATTACATATAGAGCTTTCTAATGAAGAACTTCTAGTCACAGAATTCAGTTCCACTAAACTGATAAACTTAGTCATTATTAACAACAGCAGCTGTGAAATAAACCTTAACGGTGGTTTCAAGTTATTAGTAGATAGATAACCAAGTTGTATCATAAAATATAAGTAAATGATTTTGTCCAAACAGTACCCACAGTATGGCATTATTTTAAAACTATGCTACCTTTTTTTAAATAGCTTTTGGTGAGTCTACAAATCAGACTCAAGTTTTTTTCTAACAAGAAAAACTTCTGCTGCTCCAGTCTCTGCATTCCCATACAGTCTATTCACAATTAGTTCAAGAGAATTTCGGATCTGAGATACCAGAATCATCCAGCTTATTTACATATATTGTCCTTTTTTAAATGCCTTGATCATTTACTTCATTTTAATTGTAAATTTATATTCTTAGAAAGTACAGGATAGCCTAGAAGAAGCTGCTCAGAGTTTTTAAGAGACACAAATAGAATTACAGGGCCTATATTTGGCTTGTGGAAGTTAATAATGAAATACAACTTATACATAGGATTAAGGAATTCTTTCTATAAATGGAACTCAGCGTAAAATTATCCCAAACACCTGTTCTTATTACTTTTTTGTCCCCCTCTGAGAAAGTTTGTTCTGTTTTTTCCTTAATGATCTGATTCAGGCTGAATTTTCATAGTTAGAGAAAGCACTCCAGGTGATTTGCCATAATTTCAGATATCTTCTAAAAAAATCAGTCATAAGGTTACAAAGATAATCAATAAAGTTGATAATTTTCATTAGTTACTTGAAATACTTCTGAAATTTAAGAAATTTGCTTCTCAAACATGGTCCAGAAGGAATTTAAAGGAAACACAGGATTACATGGTTCTATAAGAATTTTGCAGTCCATTAGTTAACTAGCAATCTAAATATCATATTTCTGAATTGTTCTGATTAGCAGCATGAGTGACAGAAAATAGTTAAAACACCTTTTATCTCTTCCATTTTGCATTAAATGTGTATTTCTGTACTCTAAATTCCTCGCCCTTCATGATATCTAGGGTATCATGTCATCCTTAAATTTTTCTTAGCTGCCTAAGGAAACAGATGGTCACCCTTTAGAGAAATCCATTATAATTTCTCATGCATAACAGAGACATTTTTCCTGGTATAAGCACTGGTCTGCAAGGTTGGTTTGAACTGCAAGGTTGGTGGTTCAAACTCACCAGCTGCTCCTCAGAAACCCTGTACAGGGTCTCTACAAGTTGAAACAGACTCAAGGGCACTTAACAACATTTTTCTCAAGGTTGGTTTTTTTTTTTTGTTTTTTTCCAGTTTCGGTGGTGGGCGGTGGGGGTAGGTCTCAGAGCTACTGAGGCAAAAGACTTAACTGGCTAAATAAAAATTAGGGGGTGTAATGCAGATGACCATCAAGGAAAATGCCAAGTGTCAACTCCAGTGTACAGTGCTTTAAGTGAAGAACATTTTTTTTTCTGGTTGTGAAAAAGGAAACTCTACCAGCTTCCCATGGAAAAAGGCATAACTTTAATTCATTCTCTTGAATTATTTTTAAGAAAGAAAACTTCACTTTTCCATGAAGACTGCTAAAAACTTGCAACCAAGATACTAGTTTGCACATCATATACTTCCTCAGTGTTGTTGTTAAGTGTCTTCGAATCAGTTCTGAATTCTAGCAACCCTGTAGAAGGTGTTTCCAAGTAGCAGCTGGTGATTATGAACTGTCAACTTTGCCGTTAGCAGCCCAGTGCTGGTTGTTGTTGTTGTTGTTGTTGTGTGTAATGGAATCAGTTCCGACTCATAGCGACCCTGTACAGGGTTTCCAAGGCTGTAAATCTTTATAGGAGCAGAAAGCCTCATCTTTCTCCCGCGAAACAGATGGTAGTTTCGAACTGCTGACCTTGTGGTTCACAGCCCGATTCATAACCACTATGCTACCAGAGCTCCTTAAGTTGTTGTTGTTGTTAAGTGCCATCGAGTCCATTCCGACCCATAGTGACCCTGTATAGGGTTTTCAAGGAGCAGCTAGTGAGCTTGAACCACCAGCCTTGCAGTTCAAACGACTTTGCGGTCTGACGCATTAACCCACAGGGCCACACCAGGACTCCCCTTAGGTAATGGATAATAATATGCTCAAATACTTCTATAGTAAAAGACAATGCTGTTAATACTTTCTCTATTGCTGTTATTGTTAAGTGCCGTCGAGTCGGTTCCAACCCATTGTTGTTGTTGTTGTTGTTAAGTGCCTTCGAGTCAGTTCCGACCCATAGCGACCCTGTACAGGGTTTCCGAGGGTGTAAATCCTTACGGGAGTTCCAACCCATAGCTACCTTGTATAGGGTTTCCAAGACGCAGCTGGTGAACTTGAACTGCCAACCTTGCAGTTCAAACAGCTTTGCAGTCTGGCGCATTAACCCACAGCGCCACACCAGGACTCCTATAGTACACTCAATTTATTTAGGATTGTATTCCTCAGGCCATGAAGTGCCTAGCCAAATGACTTCTAAGACCCAGGATGGTGGTGGTTGTACGGCACTCACTGGATTCTAACTCATAGCAACCCTGCGTTTTCTAGGTTGATGGGAGCAGAAAGTCTCATCTTTGTCCTGAGGAAGTGACTGATAGATTTGAACTACTGACCTTGTGATTAGCAGCCCAGCTCATAATCCACTATGCTACCAGGACTCAGAAGACCATTGTTGTTGCTGTTGTTGCTAAGTGCCGTTGAGTTCAATCTGACTCATAATGACCCTGTATAGGGTTTCTGAGGAGCAGCTGGTGATTTTGAACCACCAACCTTGCATTTCAAACTGACCTTGCTGTCAAGTGCTTATCCTACAGTGCCCCACCAGGACTCCCCAGAAGACCATTAGGAAGAATTTTACATGGATAAGCATGGATGGAACTGTGAACCACAAGGTTGGCTATTTAAGGGTCATTATGAGTCAGAATCAACTCGAAAGCACTTAACAACAACAATAACAATCAAATCACACTCAAGCACAACTTCAAAAATGTTTGAATCAGGTCTAAGCACTCTTTGGGTATACTTCATTTACTAGTGGAATTTCCAAGATGATGAACATACAACGCTTAAAAAGACATTTTACACAGACAGTAGATAAATGGTATCACCATCTGTCCAATAGCTCTCTTACAGATCAAATTGATTATACTGAACACAAAACTCCTTGGTCTTACCAAAGCCACTGAGGCAATGCTTTCTACATCTAAGGCTCAAGTACAAATCATCAAATGACAAATTCAAGAATCTTTCCCCTAATGCCACTCAGTAAAATACTTTTTGACACTGAACAATTTACTTGATCTCTTAACATCATGGCTGCTTCATCTGCAAAACTGGGCTAATCATGGTTTTTTCTAAAGACTGTTGTGAGTTAAATTAAATGAGATAATATATGGAAAAAATGCATAGCACTTGTAGATGTCCCAGTAAATGATAGCTGTTAGCTGTTATTATTATACTTATTATTTCCTCATCATCATGAAAAACTGATTTATAAGTAGAAAAAGAAGCACAAATACTGATGGGAAAATGTTCGTAGTGTTCAAAATACTCTTGCTAAGAACCATGGCATTACCTTAGTTCTATTGAAGTACAGGTATACCTCCAATATAATGTATATTTAGTTCCAGACCACCGCAATGAAGTAAATGTTGCCATAAAGCAAGAGACCGAGTTTTATCAGTTTCCCAATGTATATGTTTACACTGTACTTAGTGTAGTAGATTAAGTGTGCAATAGCATTATGAAAAAGTTTGAAATATTCTGAGAATTA